GTTTAGGCCCAGACACGGCTAGTGACGTCAGACTTAACGACCGGATAGTGTCATTGTGCTGTCAATGCTGCTGCTGGCCTGCTAAACCACTGATGCAGGTTTCCATGGTGTCTAGAAGAGGAGCCATCCTCACTTTAAGAAATACCAGAACGTCAGTGAGAAATCCAGAAGCACTCACTGTGAACAAATCCATTCTTTCCTTCGATACAAGACTACAGAGATAATTGGACTACATATAAGATGGAGCTTTTTGACCTAAGCTGCACCTTCATGTTCTCAGCTAACACTCTCATAATGACTTTATTCTCTCAAATGTGGTTTATTTTGTGAACATTTACACATTTGTGATGCAGCAGCATGAGAAAAGCCAGCTGTGCATTTATAATTACAGCCAAATAGCTTTCTGTTGATTCATCGATGAATTCGCTCACTTTTTGTAGCACTTTGAGATGTTTTGTTAATGTTCATTTATTTATTACACAAACTCAATATGCTTATCATAAAACATAACACAGTTATTCGGTGTAAGCCTGATGGACAGTTGACCTCGGGTCAGTGGGCAGTTTGTTCCAGAGGTCCACTGTAACTAGTCGTATTTCTTACTGTAACTCACTTCTGCATAATTTTAAAAGATCTGCATTGCATCAGTTTTGCATGAAAACAAAAAATCAATCGAGCATTTCTGGTTGCTGCAGCGAGCCCCAAACAAAAGGTGTGTACGGTTGAACGAAAACCCTAGAAACCCTTGGCAGCTCACCTCAGAGTCGGGCTGAGCCAAGTCAGGGAGGGACTAACACGGTCGGGTCAGCCAAGCCGCCTGCTGGTACAAGCAGCAGGCCGGTCCGGTGTGGTAGTGCCAAACTAGAGCCTGCAGCGGCTCCGCCTCAGCATTGACTGCAGCGCCCTGTGACTAAGCTTCTGTCTCGGGGGGTAAACGTGCCAACGGCCCAGCGCCTTTGAAAAGTTGCCACTGCGGAGCAGCAGGGCCGAATGCTTCAGCTGCACACTTCCACTCTCGCTGGGACATCGTTACCTTTACAGAGTGCTTCTAGCTGATCGCACACTGAAGCTGCTCTGACTCTGATCTAACGCTTGTGCGTGAAGAG